AACCCCGCAGCCCCCAGCACCTCGGGGACCCCCCCGGAGGCTGGAGGGACCCGTCGCCACCCCGGTGGCCCTGCGGGTCGGTTGCCACCAGGGGGCAGCAGCGGATCGGCACCGGGGGCCGCCGGAGGGAGCTGGGGGGGGGGGGTCAGGGTCCCCCTCTCGCCCTGGGAAGAGGCGACACCAAAGAGATGGGTGATGGCTCTGTGGCCCTGCCAGGGGAGCTTCCAGCAGGAACCAGGCGGCACATCATCACTCATCCTTCCAGGAAAGGGCACACCGGTGTATATTACATCAGACAAGACAATAAGCAGCTGCTACTTTGCCGAAAATGAAAAAAAAAATAAATAAAAAAAAATTAAGCGGTGATGAAAAAGAGTCTGTTGATTTAAAGCATTTCTGCATCTCCTCCCTAAAGCCTCTGCTCTGCCACAGTGAACATATGATAAAGTTAGCCAAGGAAGGGGGTGGGATGGGCAAACCTCCCTCTGAACAGGCTCACTGCCGGTGGAACTGCTCCGACCAGGAATGCCACGAAGGGGCTGGGGATGTCCCATCCCTTTTGGCTTCTCAAAAAGTAAATATTTAGCAACACACCTCATTTTGTATTTGCTGAGTTCAACTTGGTGACAATGTAGAAATCTGAAATGTTTTCTGGCTGTTTTTGAATAACATATTGTTTGAGCTCTAATCTGAGTTTTAATCTGTTTCAGTAACAGATTCAAGCCTTTTCCCCAAATGTTTCCACTGGGATAATGACACTTGTTTGGCATCTAGCAGACGTGCTCATAACAGGACATTTGGACTCCTTGTGTAGCTGTTTATTTCATGGGCCCATTACCCTTGTCTTCACTGGAGATGGCTGCTGATCTAATGTCCTGTATTTTAAAATACATTTGGTGTATCTGTAAGACAAAACAGAAGTGCTCAGGTGGACAGTTCAGATATGTTTCAGTCGGGCAATCAACTTTTATTGCAGACTAAATCAAAAATAGTTTATGACTATTCCAGCCAAGAGACGAGCTGAAATACATCAGTGAATTGTCCCACTGCTGCCCCACCCTGCCCAGATGATTTTCTGAAACCTCCCAGGAACCAGTGCTTTCCAGAGCTGTGCCAGGGACCCTGGAAAAGTTTGTGGAAGAACTTTTACCTTTGTCATTTAGCAAAGGACTCAGTGAAGGCAAGCACTCCCATGCTCAACTCAAATTTAGTGCAATTACCTGCTGCTAAACAGGTTGATGACAACAAATCTATGTGCTTGGAATCACTTGTTGCAGAGATGACATCATCCATATCTAAATTTATACAATGTTTCTATATGGTTCGACGCTAATAAAAGAATTTACAGGCATTCATTTGCAGGTGGTCACTAATATGAACATGCAAGATCCAGTGCAAAGTTCAATTCAGAATTTTCTTTATTAAAATACCTTTTCACGTTCCTTATACTAATGCGTTTGTATGAACACTCATGGGATGCTAGAATGAATATGTCAACAGAAGAGTACTGTGAAGTCAGTCATTTGTGAAAGGCTTTTGATACAAACAACATTTGTGTAGAGAACAATAAATTAGAGATATTACGTAGTAACTGGAGACTGAAAATTTAAACATTTGGAATGAGGATATAAAACCCTTTTGTTTTTCTTGCTGGTTTTGCGTCTTCGATGCAATGCTTAAAGCAGTTAACTATACATGTATATACAAATCCCTGTCCTGTCTTTCACTATTTTCTAATTAAAATGAGAACCTTCATACCTGTGGCCCAGATCTTGTAGTAATTCAATCTGCAGTAAGAAAAGGAGAGCAACTGCCATGTCAAAGACCAGCTGATTAAGGGGTTGGGGACAGTACTACTTCTGTTTTGTTTTGTGTTCTTTTTTTAAACTAATGCAACTGACATAAACATGGGCTGCAAAGATTAGATCCATGTCCAAACTGGGTCCATGTTAGTGTTTTATCATGCTACAGAGAAAAAAAGATAGGTATGGAGTTCCATACTGAACAAACTGGACACAAGTATGACTTCATATCTCTCCTAAAATCAAAGGAATAAGGATTATACATTACAGGATTTTCAGGTACAAACTCACTGACTTGGGTGCAGTATATCTACCCACTCAACACCTATAGTTTGCATCATCCAAAATAACTGTGATGGGCAATACATTCCTTGAAGAACCATCACACCAAACTAACCAACAAGCATCACAACTTTTAAAGGGGAAAAGCAATTTAGCGAAGAATAAAGAATATTTTGTGCCTCTACTGAGAGAAGCACTTGGTAAAGTACTGAATCTCCGAACAGTTATTCAAGTTTTTAGAGAGCCCAGAGCTCGCTCTTCCGTTCGGCCCCCATTGCAGTGTGGCATCCAAGTGAGCTATAAATTAGCTGGCTCCAAGACCAGAAGCAGTCCAGCTGCTGAGCACAGGGAGTTCAGCACGAGCTGCAAGATCACGTCAAAGTACATACATGGCTGCTCAAGCTGTGCTGAGCTCTGATCTGCCACAGAAGTGTTACTGATAACCAAATTAGCTAGTTTAAAGCAAGCTTAGGTATTTCTACATCTTACTAGCATCACAGTAGTTACTGCACTGTAGAAATGTACTTCCTCTGTTGCAGCTTCTCCTGTTATTTCCTCAGAGCATCATGAACTGGAGGCTAGAAAGGCAAAATTGCATTAGCAGGAGAAACTAAAGATGGGAACCTAGGTCAGTGGTTTCTACAGCCACTTTTCTATGAGAATTTTTATTTGTGATTTTTTTTCCACTAAATGCTTTAGGAACACCTCTATTGTTCCCCCTGAGGAAATAAACTTTGAAAAGAAGAGCCTGGCAAACTCATAAATAAGTGCTGCAGAGCTTTCGAAACATTTGCAACATCTTCCATCTTGGCTTGTTTTCTTCTCCCAGCTGATGTTTGAGATGACTCTTCTAAGTAGCATCAGGATGCCCTCGTATTATCTGTTGGCAACCAAAACAAAAAAAGAGAAAAAAAAAAAGTATGAGTATAAACGTCCCCCCGTTCTCTCCTGTCCTTTTTGATCAATACAAAATCTTTAAATATAGCAACATATTCCTTAGAGCACTGTACAGTGAGCTAATAAATACTCACAGTTCCCTAGGGAGATATTAGTATTATCTTCATCAGATAAAAAAGGAAATAAGACAGCGGGAGTTTGAGGTTAACAATTACAGGCTAGACTGCAATACCGTTAATCGCCAACATCTGCAACTGGGCTCTTACTGATAAAAGTTGGATTCTTGTGGGAACTGCTGGCACTCAACAAATCTGAAAGTCAGATCCCTTATTTACTAGTAGATGCCCAGTTGCCACAATTAGGCCCCAACCTTCAGTCCCACAAGAATGAAAACCTTTTCCTAAGAGCACTCGGGTATCTCAGCAGTGAGTGATGCAGTGTTCAACTTCTAGACACCGTGTTTCTACAAGAGTCTGCTCCTTTGAATCAGTTCTCTCTTTGGTGCACAGCAGGACAGAGAAACCTGGCGCTGAGAACCACAAGAGGCAGAGCACAGGAGTCCTCTGTGCCAACCAACGGGCAAGGGCAAAGACAGAACATAAACTTCATTGTCTTTACATTATATGACAGAAATAATTCCGTCCACTGAGGATTCTCAACTGTCAAGTCTTTCCTGACACCGTTGCCAAAGCAAGCCGTCTTCCAACAAATATCTGCTAAGAGTACATGGTGGCCTCTAACCTAATAGTTTAGTCTGTCAGCACTGAGGCGCCTAATTCCTTTTGTGGACTTACCCCCAAAGGATTTGCCCCATGAGTCAGAGGCAGGAATTCCTGGTTTATAATTTAATGTTTATTTCAGAGTATCACCTTGTTTTTCATATCCTGACTGCCTGAAATCCCCCCAATTTTAAATGGACACATCCTCCATCTTCATTTCCTGTCTGAAACCCTTGTGCCATGTTCCTGTGCACGGTTAAACACGTGCCAGGTTCCCCCTCCAGAGCAGGCTGTGTTGTGCTGGCAACGTGAAGCAACTCCTCTAGCACTGAGAATTCACTAAATACGTTTGGGATCACTTGAGTAAGAAGAGAAAGTAGCTATAAAAATAAACCACAAACCCCACATAAATTTCTCCGAATAGATTTAAATTGTACAGGTTTCTATCTCAGAGGGTACATGCTGAGGTTGAACAAATAGGCAGCTGAAAGTACACCATGTCCTGACTGAGGCTGCCAGTCCTCGTGTACCCCTAGAACAGAATCAAACAAACAAACAAACACACACTTCTAAGAGGTAATAGGGGAGGAGGAGATATGAAGTCAGAATGTACTGCTGAGGTAAATTTGACACAATACCAATTAGTATTTGGCGAAGTGGCTATCTCATTGTTAAGATATTTCCTTCAATATGTTTTCAGAAACTGGGACCGTTAAATAACTTAGAAAGATTGCCAGCTCTGATTTCAGGAAGGAAACCTCCTCCCAGTTCCTCTCTAAGTAATTCATTTCTTTTGCAAATACTTCCTATGGATGGCATTTAAGATACAAATTTCTGAAACCGAGAAGAAAGAGGGAAGCAACCCCCAACCCAAAACTAAACGACCTAAAAGTCCGAGACATTCAGGTTCAAGGTACTTGGGACTAGCAAATCAGTCAGAACCCGTACTGCAATTAAGCCTTTGTACAACCCAAATAATTCAAACCTTAACTGATTGTTTTTCTAACGCACCGCCTTTCTTGACATAATACAAACACATTCAATGCCTCTGAGTAACACAACACTTATTGTCAGTTCACAGCGTTTACTAAAGCCCTGAGCTCAATTGTTTAAGAGTCGCTCAGGGAAGATGAAGCAAAGTTCCTAAATTTCCATG